GCGTAGTTCAGGTGGCTATGAGCTCATATGCTTGGGTGCTCAAATGTAGCTCTCACAGGCGCCGGAACTGCGTGCTACATCGCGTAGTTCAGGTGGCTATGAGCCTGTCTCTTATACACATCTAGATTTGTATAAGAGACAGCCCCCAACCCTACCCCTGCCATAAGCCAAAACCCCACTCACCATTACCTATGCTCTAAGCCCAACCCCTACCCCCGCTCCCACCCTAGCCCCCAGTACTAGCCCTACCCTCACCCTTAATCAGACCCTCAGTCCTACTACTTCTAATCCCACTCGTGCTCCCCAATCTTGAGTATTGCTACCAACTTTGGTCGCCACTCAAGGCAGGTGTGGTGCGAAAATTAGAGGCAGTGCAGCGGACCTTCACGTACAGGATCAGCGGCATGAGGGAGCTGAACCTGAACTACTGGAAACGGCTGAAACACTTGGGGCCGTACTCACTGGAGAGAAGAGAGAGGTATATGATACTGTACACTTGGAAGATGATAAACGGACGGGCTCCCAACTTTGAGAGTGAGACCTCCAAAATAATGACATCTTACAACGAAAAAAGGAGACTGTGCAGGATTCCCCCACTCAATAACCGAGCCGCGGCCAAAGTACAGACCCTTCGTGAGGGATCACTGTCCGCGGTAGGACCGAGGCTCTTTAATGCCTTGCCAAAAGCGCTGAGAGGAGGGAGTTTACCCTGTCACCGGACGCCTGCCGCAACTATTAAACTTGTCAGAATGATCAGAACTCTTACGGCCAAACGCCGGTAACTATCTTGTAAAAAGCTAGATTGCACTTTATTGCACTAGGATTTTGTTCATTAAAACTTCGGTGAACACGGTAAAACTTAGCTTTATTTCTGCATAGCACTTCAAAGGGATACGTTCAAAACATTACAGAACAAGCACGATGGACATTACACTGCTTAATGGAGCATATAGAGCACAGCCACACACGAACTAGCATTGGAGCACAAGATCGCTAACTTTGCAACGGAGCGAGGTGAGTTCAGGTTAGAACCTCACTGTAGGGCTGGCGGGACACGACTAACTACCTGACTCACAGCCGCTCAGACATGACCTTGTACTACGTCGCTACCGTCCAAGTAAAGTCCGACATCAATGTTACTAAGGCGGCTACGCTAGATGTGGCTTTCGGTGTGCACACGAGATAAAATGAACACGGCAATATAGTGAACGAAGTTCATCGTTCACAACCCTTGCAACATTCAAGAGACGACTGGACAAGTGGCTGAGAAAGATCCCTGATTGTCCAGTAATGGGAAACTACCCTCAGCAAGCAACAGCATCTTGCAACAGCTGGCCCAAAGGAAAATAGACGGAACACGTCCAAAGTTACATCCGGGGCCCGAGCGCGGGGTGACCTGCCTAGCGATGACTCGGAAACGGAGGACGACGAAGGCGGAGCATCAGCTTCACCGTGGACTACGAAGTCCTAAACTCATCACAAGGTCACAAGGCAGGTTGCTGCGCAGGAGTCAAAACAGGTTGCTATGCAGCAGTCAAGACAGGTTGCTATGCAGCAGTCAAGACAGGTTGCTATGCAGCAGTCAAGACAGGTTGCTATGCAGCAGTCAAGACAGGTTGCTGTGCAGCAGTCAAGACAGGTTGCTATGCAGCAGTCAAGGCAGGTTGCTATGTGTTGCTGTGCAGCAGTCAAGACAGGTTGCTGTGCAGCAGTCAAGACAGGTTGCTGTGCAGCAGTCAAGACAGGTTGCTGTGCAGCAGTCAAGACAATTTGCTGTACAGCAGTCAGGAAAGGTTGCTATGTAGCCCACGTGCACAAGAAGGTGTGGTGGATTCGCTTGTAGAGGTAGCACTCCACCAGCAACCAGGGAGCGGTGAACCACCGAGGGGCTTCATTGTGTTTGTTTTGGTAGGAGGTGAGGCAGGCGTTCCAAAGGGCAGTGTCATCTGCACCATTAATAATGAGCAAATATATCTCATTAAATTCTCCTAGAATATTCATTGTTCTATCAAATTACAACAATTTTCAAATCAAAGCTTAAAACAGTTCAGGTGAATTTCACTCTGCTGCCCAAATGTAGAATTTTAGTGATGTGCTGGATGTATGCAATGAAACAATTGCTTTTCAATTCAAGTTCGAAATAATGGTAAAAACATCTAAACAACATGAAATTGAGCATAGCCATAATAAAGATAATTCATTAAAATGCAGTATTGTGGACGAATTTCACTGCCCAAGTGAATGCTTACAGAGATTGAATGGCAACAAAGAAGACTACAAACACAATCCATTACAGTTCATAGTGGCAAATTTGAACCTCCTTAAGAATATTTCAACCATTTTTTATTCATTTGGATAATAAGCAAGTCAGTCATACAAAACTTATCATATAAAAAATAGAGTTAAGCTTATGGCAGTTTCATAATTCGAAGCAACTATTGAGAAAATATGAATATATAGTGAAGCCACAATGTGTGTATTGCCCATCCATATGGACGCAATTTGGGTTATGAGTCGGTGATAATTGGCCCCAATTTATATAGGCCAGTTTTTAGCGCATTTTCTCATTTATGGAAAAATGCACTATTGTGCTCACATGTCCGTCCGTCCGTCTGTCCGTGACTTCACGTTTTGGTCGACGAGAAAATGCGCTCTCTGTCACTCACTGCAGTGAGTACTGAGTTAAATTTTTTTAAGGTAGGTAAGCCACAATGTGATGCAGAGTGATGAATCTCACCATGTTCAGGGAGAGGTAAGAGTTCAGTGAAGGGCTTCAAGGTCTTGTTGGTCTGCATTTCATTCTTGAGTTGCGACAGAACAGCAATGACGGTCTTAATCTCATCGGCTGCTTCCTGCAAAAACAAGTGACTACATACAAAGAACAAACTCTACATCAGATGATTATTCATTCAGAAATGTTGAAAAGATTGTGAGAAATCAACTTATTACAGAAAATAAAACTAAAAAATTGTTAATGATCAACCATGGATGCAGCAAATAAATAGGAATGGCAGAACAACCAATGTAAGTCTTTCAAACAGTAAATCATAGCATTAGAAAATTAAAAAAAAATGTTCATATATCAACTCATCACAATGTAAGCATTGTATACCGTTACCAATAGTAAATGTAGAAACATAAAAGGTACTATATTATACATATAAAAACTTTTTCAGAAAATTGCAAAAAAGCCAAAATGGTAAAAAAGTGCACCAAAAATTCAACTACCAAATAAGGACTTATAAGAATATTTTTCATACTTCTCATTGAATGTTCTTTGATGATTTAAATCACCATTCAAGGTCATTTCATTCATTTTATGCATTTAACTTTGGTTTGTGCCTCACCTCTCCATATTGATTAACAACAGAAAGTTTTTCCCGGCATAAATAATCGATGACACAGGTCAGGATCACAGGTAGACGATCCTTCACAGTAAAGTATGCAAAACTCCTGGAAAAAAATAGGCCAATCAATAAATTAAATTGTGCCTAGTAACATCATAGCCTATATTATAGATTAAAAATGCAAATTATTTATGGATAACATGGACTACACACTACAGTATTCCTATTATAGCCACATAGCACATAGTCACATACAATATAGAAGGAGAAATATATGAATAACTTGATGAATCAAATACTTACAAATCATACATAATTCTATGATAACATTCGACACTAATATGAAATCTGATTTAGTTGCCATAGCAACTAAACTGTGCAATTCCAGCAAATAGTAATTCTGACCAGTATTATACAAATATATGTTCAGATTTGAAGTGGTAGTCCACAATACGTTACTGGTGGTCTGTTAGACATAGTGTTAATGTCAAAGGAAAACATTTTTTTGTCCTTTCTCAGGTTGATTTCTGAGTCATATAATTAGACATATATGTATCTTGGATACCAGCATTATCAATTTATCATACATAAGAAATTTGTTAAAAACTGAAAATATTGAGCAAATAAGGGAATTAAATATAAACAGATTCTAAAGATATTTGGTTTGTCATTATCATTATCTTGGTACAAGTCTAGTAGTAGCTATTTCAAACCAATGTCAGTTTTTTGAAAATATTAGATTAAACTCATTGAAGAACCTGTTTTAGAATTTTAGAACTCCTGTGTCGATAAATTTTACCCGCGGTTTTCGAAAATCGCACTTGAATAGCCTATTTTTACCCGCGGTTTTCGGAAAAATCTGCCCAGTATTCCATACCGGCAAGCAAGAAGACTTCACTACAGCATTTAGATTCTACTCACCCTATCACTGAAGCTGATAATGGAGCCGGGCCAGGCAAATCTTCCTCCATGTCATGAATAAGTGAAAGATATCAGCACATGAACTTCAACTTGTAGGTCCTTCCAAATTCCAAGTTCCAACATCCACCTTCGGCTCAAACCGCTCAATTAGCTGGCTTCTTGCTTTATTCTTTCTCGGGATGTCCACGATAAGTGGACGACATTATACGTTTTTTTTATATATTATAATTAAGTTTAAAGGCTTCGAGTGCTTATGCAGTTATGCACTGCCCAGCCTGATCTCTATCATTAACTATACGTTTGTCTGCCAGACTACATGGAACGAGAGACGACAACAGCTCTCAGCTGTTTATTCGGAGGCCACATGACAAAATTTTTAATCCGGCATCACGGATATCGCAACTCATTGCTCCAATTCTGCTGTGCTTAACCGCCCGGCCTCCTCGCCGATTCTGACCAGAAACTGGCGCACAGAGCTGGAATCGAACCCGCGCCTCTCTGCTCCAATCCTGGTACTCTGAACTGTGACCACAGGGCCACTCTGCCCAGCATTAAAACGCAGTTGCCACGTATTAGCCCAGTTAACTAAACTGTCTAGATCATCTTGCAATTACATTAATTATTGCATCCTTAACTGTACAGTATTATAACAGTATTATAAACTTTTGTATCATCGGCATACATCGAGCACACGCTTGACACTACTTCTGGCAGATCATTGAACAAAACAGGCCTAAGAATGCTTCCTTGTGACACACCACTGAGCAGTGTTGCCCAGTCTGATACGGACCCATTCAAACTGACACGTTCTCGTCTACCTACTAGAAAATCTCTGATCCATTGGAGTACGTTTTCCTCCATTACCAAAGACTTCACTTTACGCAACAGCCGCTCATGCGGAACACTGTCAAATGCTTTGGCAAAATCGAGGTACAATGCATCCACTGGCTCCCTTTCGTCCAGCAGGCGAGTCCAATCGTTCAACGTAGATAATAAGTTAGTGGTGCAGGATCTGCCGGCAATAAAACCATGTTGACAATCTAATATGAGATGGTGAGCAGTCAAGTGATCGATAATCCTATCCCTCACAACAGATTCCATTATAACTTACAAACAACACTGGGACTGACTGGGAATAGATAGACTGACTGGGAATAGATGCTCAAAAATATCGCGATAACAAATGGTGTAGCCTTAATGGGTGGAAGTAAGCTAAATTAGTAAGTAACTTCATCATGTTGCCTACAGATCATCGTTTGCTTCCAACATTAAGAATATTGTTTACACAAATGCAGAGTTGGCGCACAGCGCGGTGAAGAAGGCAAATAATAATGACGTCTTCCAAATATGCTAATGCGATTTCCGAAGCGGGAAAACTTGGGAGGAATTCCTCAAGTTTTATTACTAGGAAAGTAGCGAAAAAAATGATCGTGATTGAAGTCATCATCCTGGACCCGGAGAGTATAAAATACGTGACGGAATGAGAGGAGAGTATCTAACTCTGCCGACACACTGCAGCGCGAACATGGTGAGTTCTCTCCTGCCTCTTCGTATATTAACTAATATGTTCTATGACTCCATCACATTCTCTAAGTAGAAATTTATATCACGAAGAAGTTCAATTCATTTTATTACAGTTTTGCTATAAAATAGATTTATTTTTAATTGTTCGCTGATGATGTGGTATACCAACTTTCAATTTATTTCGTCCGAACCTGTGATTTTGATACTAATTTAATTCTATTTTTTGCATGCGTCAGCAATCCAGCATATTTCTGACGCTTGTGGCAGCTGCTCTTGCTGCAGCTGTACTCGCAGCTGAGCAGACTGCACCTGCACCTGCAGCTGTAGAAGCACCTGCTGCAGTTGCGGCTAAACAAGAAGCTCTTGGGGAAGGTAAACAAGCACCGCGCATTTAAAAATAAAAAATTATTTATGCTCCTAGTCCATGCTCATTTTTTCTTAAAGAAGTAAAATTTATAATTACATATTCTTGATTTAGCCTCATTAAAATTAAACACTATGAATTTAAACTTAAAGTTTCGTTGAAGTAAAATTTATTGGTTGAAAAAATTGAATTCGTGATTTGTCATTAAAATATATTTAATTTAACATTCAAACGGGTTTAATAGAAAATGTGTAATTTCTAAGTTAAGATAAGGTCTAAAATCACATCACCTTCAACGTGATTACCACAATATTCGCAATGAAACTATAGTAATTTTTTTCTCCTCCGCAATCCACCCAGCAGCCGAAGACGGGAAATTTTTCCTGTTTGCCAGCCGTTCGACCACCACCTCCATCATCATCACCACCAGCACCTCCACCGTCCTCGCCACCTGCTTCACAAGTCAATACCGCTAATTTGCATAACTGAAGTTACCATTTTTAGTATATATAAGTCTTTAAGTGTCTGTTATATACCTTACAGCGTATCATCAGACCTCTAACAAACTCATCATCAGGAGACTTCTCCTAATATATATTTTTTTCAACAGCGGCGTCGGCCGCAACCTGCACTGGCAGACGCCGCCGTCGCAGCATGAGAACTCCGCGTGCCGACTTGAACGTTGATGAAGGCTTGGACTCCTCCCAGGCAAAGGTGGACGGCAGCCTCGCAGGCGAAGAGGAAGAAGGTGGGGCTCGCGATGACCAACAATCCAAGTTCTTTTTCACCGTATGGGAGACCACGTCGTCAACCGTCACCGCTTTGACTACCGTTACGAACTCCTTAAACATCATCAGCATCTCGGCGGCATGCACTGTCCAAGGCGCTTCTGTGTTGCCTGGGTGCAACGGTTAATTGGTACCAAGTCTGTCATATTCTTGGTACATAGCTATGCCTGTGCTTGACCGGAACAACCCTAGAGTAGGAGGTAGGGAGGAGATTCTCATTCCTGTTACGAACACCTTTGCCAGGTTTTATCACTTTTTAGGTGGTATTTAAGTAGCCTGAAAATATAACAACCACCATCATTCATCTTCATTGTTTTAAAGATTTTGTTGAAAACCCCGTCAGCTACTGTAGGTAGCGTCTCCCGCAGCTTCGGAGCAGAAGTCGCTGCAGTTCCCCACTCGCAACTTTCTTCCCAGCATGAAGCCTTGGTATCTTTTCCTCTACCTCCGCTCGAGGATACGATGACTGCCAACGGACGCTCTGATCATTGTTGTATCTTTTTTACTTACTTGTTGTGATGTCCTCGCAAGCAGCAAAAACGTAGTGTAAATTGTACATACGAGGCCTCCATAGTTGCACTTTGTTTTAAGGATGATCGCTCTCAGTAAACTATTCTTCGTATGTATCGAGTAATTATACCTTTGTCCGTCTACACAGTGGCCGGTCTCCAACGGTCAACGGTCACGACTCACTAAGCATTAAAAATCCATTGAGTTTTCGACACACCTAAAAATTCCAATGATGTCAGTAGTCAAATTTTTGACACCATTTTTTAGCGAATGCAGTTACATTACACAAAATTCGAGCGCGATTTTAATATGTAAAAATTAATTTGTTCCGACTGAAAATGCCGATTAATACAAAAGTCATTAGGTTGAAAAATGATACAATTTGCGCAGTCATGGTCTGAAGGAAAGACGGCGACTTAATTGCACGGACCTCGCCGACATCTCCAGAGATTCGTTGCACGCTCGCATAACGAGCTCGAAGTGGGTCGTATATAAGGAAGGCCTGCGCCTACCTCCACAGTGCGAGGTTGTGTCCAAAGGAAGATCTCTGCACAGGAATCCATTAGACACTCATTGCATTGGTACGCCTTGAGAATTTAATTGCACTGGTACAACATAAGAATTCCATTGTATTTGTACACCAAAGGAAAAAAACATAGCTTTCATTAAAAAATGGTGACATCGGTTCCTCATTGTAAACCCATCCTAGAGAAAGGGTCTTTTTTAGTAATTCATTATATTTGTGCCCAATAGGTATCGGTTAGTGGAGTGTTGATTTTTGAGTTTACAACTGATAGTTCTGAAGCATTTATTCACTAAATTTCTCGGCTTCAGAAATTTAGTTCTGTACAGAAGTTGGTAACGCTTGGTAAATACAAATGTTACGAGAAGTTGAAGTTAGAAGTGATCGAAAAGTCCGCCAACGCTTTACGCGTTAGTACATAAATTGAATATTTGCGCTCAACTCACTGGAGTATATCCACTTAACTCTCTGGAATATTTCTACGTTGCTGATTGTAATATACGAGTAGTCGCATGCCGCCGCACCTGAATATTTATCATCTAAATATGGGCCGAACCACAATCATTCTTCGTACAATTATTTCAACAGGCCATTGGCCTATTTCTTCAATGCTGACACTTCTATACCACTTTCTTCATTCAACCCTGAAAGAAAAACTGACGTCCACTAAGGAAGACGATAAAATCTAACAAACATGTGATATTTGGACGACTATCAATTTGTACAACTAAATTTAGTTTGTGTTTTGACGGAAATAATGTCAAGTCAGAGAAGAGAAGGCCTTTTTCTACCTCAGTTATGGCATGAGTCTGTGAAGAAGCACGGGACAGGCATCACAATGTCTTCGCTTCTTGAGGCTGCGATCCATCATATCAAAATTCAAATGCCACTTTGTCATCTTGATTATTGGAGCGCAAAACAGAACAGCTTCATAGGTTTATGGCATATATGATCAAACGAAATGGATGGGCTTTTAGAAACTGACTGGGAGATGTGGGAGAGTTGTAAGGTTGTGTTAGGTTTGGTTCGGTTCGGTTCGGTTAAGATGGATTAGGTAACTTTAGGTTGAGATGATTTAGAAAGTTTGGTTTGGTTAGGCTAGGTTGTAATGATTTATTTGATGACAGGTTGCTTTGAGATGAATACATCAGGTTGGTTTATATTTGGTCTATCATTGGGAAATCATCTTCAGTACCACTTCTCATTCATTCAAACTAAATTCACAGCTAAAATAGCGAACACGCACTCGAGTCATAATTTAGTTCTGTGCGAATGACGCACTTCCGCGACCACGCGTCCCAGAGCCAAAATATGGCGAAACATACCCAAAAGACCTTATACGAAAAATTAAATTCTATCTTACCGTGGATTATAATATTGACGCTTGTATCTACCAGAAAATTATAAGTAAACTTCATTCTTTGGTATAATATTGATGTATATTCATTGTATGACATTCTATGCTGTCGTGTACTGTCCGTTCAGTTGACTGTTCGCTCAGCAGGTCTGCCTGGCCGTTTACTTGCACAAAACGCTTCTTTATTACCCAAGAAGCTACTGACAACCAAACTATTTTTATTCATACTGAAAGCAAAGTGGCAAAATTTCAAGCAATATGGATGTTAAGCCACTCTTCTCACATGATATTGCCTATTCTAGCTCCAAGAAAGTGTGTTTAGCCGAGGTCTGACGATGCCTGAAGGTCGCCACTAGTAGCCGCTTGTCTGAGGTCAACGTTAGTAACTACATGACAATAAAAAACTCAATTATTTCTCAACAAATATCCATGGGCATATAAAAATTTCATCTGTCCTCTCTGATTTTGATCCCAGGTCAATACCGATCTGTCATTATTTTTCGTCGTGGGGCAGTCTAGCTTGTATGATACCGATTTGTATTGGTAGTGGTATATATAATTGTAATTTTCGTAATGGCTTGTAATTAAACGAACCTTGTGTACGTTTTGCATGCATAAATTGTATAAATTGAACGTGCTCGAGTACAATTACAGTGTACCATGCGTAAGACACACTTTGTACCCGGGGTAAGATTTATGGACATAAATTAAACAAGCTCTAGCGTTTTGTATAGGTGCGCTGTGTCTGAATGCCCCTTCCCTTCACGCAGGTTCCCAGCTATGTTGTTCGTGGCGAGCGCCCCACCCCTCCTGCCCTCACGCTGCTCTTATTTATACCTGCTGTTGCTGATAACAGCTCTGCATGCTCTGGATAACAGCCGGGACTTCACTGGCACCGAAAAAATAGACAACAGCAGCACATGGATCACCAGCAGTAACGACAATAACAACAGCACCGTCATCAAGGATAACAACGACGGCACAAACAGCACCATCATCATCACCACCAGCACCTCCACCGTCCTCGCCACCTGCTTCACAAGTCAATACCGCTAATTTGCATAACTGAAGTTATAATTTTTCGTATATATAAGACTTTAAGTGTCTGTTATATACCTCACAGCGTATCATTAGACCTCTAACAAACTCATCATCAGGTTACTTCTCCTAATCTCTTTTTTTCAACAGCCTCCTCGGCCACAGCCTGCGCCGCTGGCAGACGCCGCCTTGGTTTGCGTCGTCAACGACCACGACGACGTACGTCATCGTCAGGTCATCCGTGACTGTGCCAGCGACGTGCTTCAGAAGTGGGTCACTCGGAGCTTAAGAGGGACGTGGCTCAGAAGTGGGTCACTCGGAGCTTAAGAGGGACGTGGCTCAGAAGTGGGTCACTCGGAGCTAGTCAGAACGTTAATCGCGTTCGTTCGTTTCGACGAACGAACGTCGTAGTGAATTTTTTAAGACGTTCAGGCCCTTTTACGGTCATGTTATAGACGTTTAGTTTCGTACGAGGGGTACAATAGACGTTTAGACGTGGAGTGATGTAAAAAGAAATTTAGATGTGTAATAGCGTAAAACAGATGATAAGACGTATTAGTGATATAACATTAAATAATCAGAAACTAGACGTTCAAGCGCGAAAGTGAATTAACAAATGGTAATCATTAGTTGTGTAAGTGAAACAATAATACGTTATTGAGGACGTCTAACAGGCTGTTAGACACACAATTGAACCGGTACTAAGCCTTCGACTTTACGAGACGTACGTTAGCCGTACAAACGTATATTAGACGTAGAGCCGTACAGCCGTGGTCGTTGCAGGCGTCAACCCGGCGGCGTGCTCGGGGCGGCGGCGGCGGGCACACAGCCGTCGGGAGATGGGCGATGGTGACGTCCTCGTCGCCACGTCGCTGACGTCGTCCATGGACGTGGAGGGAGGCGATGGGAGGGAGGGTGATGACCTCTGGTGGGGGGGTGAGGAGCAGGACGAGGGGCTAGGGAAGGCCCCTCGGCTGCTCACCTTCTGGCGCACCTCGTCCTCGACCCTCACGGTGACGACGACCCTCACCAACCGAGGGGCGACCGTGAGCGTGTCGGCGGTGTGCAGCGTTGCTGGGTTTCTTTACAACCCCTGCTGAACCCCTGCTGAACACTTGCTGAATCCTTGCTGAACCCTTGCTGAGCCCCTGCTGAATCCTTGCATAACCCTTTGCACTCCTGCTGAACGTTTGCTAAACCATTGCTGAACCCGTGCAAATCATTTGCTGGAACCTTTATGAACCCTTTTCAAACCCTTGCTGGATCCCTATGGATCACTTACTGAACCTTATTTGAAACCCTAGTCTAATCCTTACAGAACCTAAACTGACACATTGCTTTATTTCAGCTGAACCATTCAAGTTAAGTTTGTGATTCACTTCCTGGATCCTTTTTATGATCCCTCTTCAAGATATGCCTCTATTTCATTCTTTTTCTAGACATTCCTCTATTTATTTTCTTTTTAACATCCCTCTTCCTCGTATTCTTCTTGGACACATTTTTATCTCATTTTTCTAAACATCTCTGCTCTTCTAGATATTTCAGATATTCCTAGGTTTCACTTCTGTATCGCACTTCCAGAAATCTTTTCTAGAGCCACTTATTGGATCACTAATGTATCCTCTCATCACTCGTGTATCACTTCCTCTGATTCTCACTCCTGGATCCCCTCGCATAATCCCTCTCACGTATCTACCCTCTGAGATTCACTCTTGGCTCCTCTCCTAATCCCTCTCATGTATCCACCCTCTCAGTCCCATTCCTGGATCCCTCTCCAAATTTCCTAGGCTCCATTTTCATCTCGCCCCTCGTTCTCCTCACATGCCGGCAGCTCATTTTATCTACATTTTCCTGCTGAATATTACTCGTCATGTTCAATGCATCTTTGTTAATAAAAATTCAACTTGTGTCTCTTCTATTGCGCCACCCAACACGAGGAGGTAAAAATGACAAAAGTGCAGGAAATTGCGAGGAAAATGAGACAAACCAGCGTAGGAACTGATGTATTTTAATTAATTTATCGAAAAATTTCAGGTAAAGTTAAAAGAAACAAAATCGCACACACGTGCCACTGCCAGTTTGACGAGGTAACTTCCTACACGCATGAATTATTTGATCGCACGTTTGAATGATCGGGCCACAGGTAGAAATGATTAATCAGTACATTAAAAGAATTTAGCCACACATATAAATGATTTATTCACATGCAAAAAGATTTACTGCGCTCAGATAAGATTAAGCTGCTAGTGGAAATGATTTAGTCATACGTGTAAGCTATTTAGCTACATGTACGAGTATAAATAATTTTGCTACACATGGAAAGGATTAAGCTACACTTTAAAATGATTAATCCTACCGTGGAAATGATCTAGCAACATGTGGAATTATCAAACCGCACGAAAGGACGATTAGCCACACGCAGGAATGGTGATGCCAGCCACCGTGCACAAGGCGTTGAGGCTGACAGTGGTGAAGGTGTTGGTGAGATAGGTGGTGACGGTCTTGGTTGACGACACGGTTGACCACACCGTCAGGATGCTCTTGCCACTTCTACTACCGGTGGCAGGATCTGCAACCAGGTCCTGGGTTTCTCTGAGCGAACTGTCGAGCGCAACCAAGTTTGCCGATATTGGACTGGAACTTGACTGACGAGGGAAAGTTGCTGAGTTTTCAAGTTTTGTGTCATCCTCAACTTTGGTTGAACCCTCTTCGTGGGCTGAGTCGTCAAGTTGCGTTAAACCTTTTGCTTCGTTTGAGCCATTAACTCGATTTGGAGCGTAAATTTCGTTTGAAACAAAAACTTGGGTTAGACTATTAGATTTGGATGAATCGAGAGGCTGGATTGTACTACCAACATTTCTTTTCTCATCGAGTTGCCTTTTCACCCTAACTCCACCGACGTCGTCCAGCGAAGGCAGTTTTGTGACCAGATTTGCGGTCATGAGCCGCTGGCGGCGACCCGTGCAAGCTGCCGCCGTCGAAACTGAGGGGATAACCAGTATTAGCGTGGGTACAGTCCTATATGGGTACAGTCCTACGTGGTTACAGTCCTACGGTGATGACTCACCTGACAGGCAGGTGTACAAGGTGCTGGAGGTGATGACTCACCTGACAGGCAGGTGTACAAGGTGCTGGAGGTGATGACCAGGAGAGCATTGCGGGTGCTGGTCGTATATTGTGCCCACAGCAGCCGCTCTGAGGGGGCATGATCATGAGCGCCAGAAATGGCATGTGGCATTCAGCTTAGGTGGCATGTGGCAAGTGGCATGTGTTAAGTGGCATGTGGCAAGTGACATGTTGAAAGTGGCATGTTGCCATGGGCAAATGGCATATGGCAAGTGGCATATGGTGAGTGGCATATGAAAATACAGGCATATAGCAATAGGTATATTGCAATTGGGATGCTCCTGTGTCATGTGACAATTGGCATGTGGCAAGTGGCTTGTTGCAGGTGATATGTGGCAAATAGAATGTGCAAAGTACATGTTGCAAGTGACACGTGGCACAAAGCACAAAACGAGAGTCAAAATGAAAGTCAGGTAGGTACATTTAATCTTAAACTCAGAAGTAAGTTTAAGATAACTCGACCGTTTCTCTCACGAATGATTACGACCGCTTAGAATGTCTCGCGATCGCTTTGACTGTAGATTTCATTAACGACCGTACTTCGGAATGTTGGTGTTCATCTCCACCGTCGATAATGTTACTCCAAGCTTGTGACCGTACCACTGATTGTGGCACACAGTTGTTGTAATTGTGTCGCAGTGCTCGAAATTGCTTATTATCAGTGTCGGTTTTATGATCGCTTGTCGCACTGCAGAGTCACAGCCGTAGTGTCGATGTTGACCATAAATAAATAAGATGAAGTCGTGGCCGTTACTTGTAGCTCGATTTTTTACGGTCTTATACAGGAGTTGTAGTCGTGTGAAAGACTCGTAGCGTTGCGTGGCCGTTATTTCGGGGCAACAGCCGAAGTCGTCACCTTTGTCTGCGGAGGTGCCAGCTGACCGTACTTGCGTGACGGTTATAACAGAAGAACCATCCTATGGCGCAATTTTTGGGTCTTTACGTCGCGCATATATATGCTTTCAAAGAAGACATAGCGCTCATAGCGACAGTTTCAAGTTTCTCTTGGTCAGCCTTCGATGCCCTCGGCTGATAGAAAATACATATAAGCAATGTCACTCCTGCGGTAAGTTGCCCCCTTCTTGTGCTGAAGCCGTATTCTTTCTATCTTAACGTCACCCACTCCCTTCTCATCATCTGAACGCAAGCCATGTTCAATATTATAATATAAAATAAAATCAGAATTACCTACACTTGATTCACGAGACAGAATATGGCTTAACAGTAAGACTAGGCTACATAATGAGTGAGCAAGTTAGTTTAGAATTTCTATGGGCCCATTGAAAACCCTCGGTCCTTTTTTTGCAAGGCCAAACGTCCCTTCGAATCCCGGCAGGACTCATCGATGGTTGCTAATTTAACTTTGCGCAGCCACGTCATCGAAGAAACGCTATCACGAATATTAATTCGAAGTCCACGCGACCGAGACTAGACACGGGGAGAAACGAACCGAAAATTCCAGCGCGATCACCAGATCTCAAGCCACGATTACAATCGGGCGCTTCATACCTGCCAGGTGCTGGTGACGTACTCCAGAATTTTTGCATCTGTTTGTCTGTGCCATATTTTCAATAATAATTGTATTAATCTTCACTGTGTTTTCATGCCCTCCATCTGCTAACCATTCAGGATAGAGATCCTCCTTTCGGACACCAAACCACGTGGCTTAGTTTCGCTTTCGCCCTTGGAAAAGGGCCAGAGTTATACCTCATATCAATTGCTGGGTAGAGTTAAGTATCAAATCATACGATATATCCATAATCTAAAAATGTTAAATATATTATTTCTTAATTAATTAATGCCATGCCGCTAGTGTCATACCATACCGTTAAGGCCATGCCACTAGTATCATGCAATGCCATTAGTGTCATGCCATATCATTAAGGCCATGCCACTAATGCCATGCCACTACAAGTAGAGCGGGATGGACGAGCCTACCTCTCCTCATCTCCAACACCAGTAATTTTTGCATCTGTTTGTCTGTGCCATATTTTCAATACCAATTGTATTAATCTTCACTGTGTTTTCATGCCCTCCATCTGCTAACCATTCAGGATAGAGATCCTCCTCTCGGACATCAAACCACGTGACATAGTTTCGCTTTCGTCCTTAGAAAAGGGCCAGAGTTATACCTCAAATCAATTGCTGGGTAGAGTTAAGTATCGAATCTTACAAGCTAATCGCAATATAAATTACCTAAAATATCTTATTTCTTAATCAGTTAATGCCATGCCACTAGTGTCTTGCCTTACCGTTAAGGCCATGCCACTAGTGTCATGCAATGCCATTAGGATCATGCCATACCATAATGGTCATGCCATAAAAGTTATGCCACTACAAGTAGAGCGGGATGGACGAGCCTACCTCTCCTCATCTCCAACACCAGCACGTCGTCGCTGTCTTGTCCGTCGTCCTCGCCATTTGCCGCGTCGTCCACTCTGCCGTCCACTCTGTCGTCCACTCTTTCGTCCACTTTGTCGTCCACTCTGCCGTCCACTCTGTCGTCCACTCTTTCGTCCACTTTGTCGTCCACTCTGCCGTCCACTTTTTCGTCCCCTTTTTCGTCCACTCTGCCGTCCACTCTGTCGTCCACTCTTTCGTCCACTTTGTCGTCCACACTGCTGTCCATTCTCTTGCTCAAGCCGTAGTTTTTGATATCGTCCCCGCTGACGCCCACTCTGCCGTCCCCGCTGACGTCCCCTGTGCTGACAGGTCCCACGGACGTCAGGAGCAGCAGTGCTGACGTGAGGCACGAGGCAGACCACAGCTTCTGTGAGGCGTAATATCACCCAGCAAAATTAATGTGTCATGTTGTGCAAATATTGACACGCATTTTTACCCACAGCTCGAGCAGAGAGCCGCCGTAGCACTGATACACCTTTTTACTGAGCCGAATTGGGTCCAAGTTACCCATTGAAGAGCAAATAAAATGCGTTTAAAATTTACTTTTTAAAGACGACTCTAAAGAATCCAGTGTTTCCGATGTTACACATGTACAATGAATTTCTAATTTTATTGTCATATATAAAAAAAAATGTTTAAATTTTATCTCTAAAATTTGAAAATAAATTTAAATGGTGCAAATTTATTTATTCTGTCAATTAAATCATGCATTGTCTCCAACTTTACGCAAGTGTGCAAAATTTCAGATTGATTGGAAAGAAATAAGTGTGTTAAATATCGATTATCAGATATGTAGCAAACCCGAATTATTTTTTCAAATTTTTTAATAATAATTTTTTTTAATTATATATTCTGTCAATTGATTCATGCATTGTTTCCAACTTTACGCAAGTGTGCCAAATTTCAGATC